GACGGCACCCTAACCCATGACATGTTGACCGGGCAAGGAGCCAGTTAGCTGGGGGGATGCAGAAGGTAGACAAATATTGCATAAATCAAATGGCTTTTGAAGTAATATGAAAACAATAATAAACGATCTGAGTTTGAATCCTGATTCTGCTACTTACACAGCTCTGTGACACTGAGCAAGTTAACCTCCCACTCTTGAGTTTCTTCATCTTAGAACAGTGTTCATGATATCTTCCTTATAAGGTTGCTCTGAGAATTAAAGAAGTGTATATGAAGCAACTGATACAGTGGCTGGTGCTGAAAAATAGTAACACATTTTATCGCTAATAACAGATTTTTTTTTCTTTTTTGAGACAAAGTCTCACTCTGTCTCCCTGGCTGGAGTGAAGTGGCATGATCTCGGCTCACTGCAACCTCCGACTCCCCAGGCTCAAGTGATTCTCCTGCCTCAGCCTCCCGAGTAGCTGAGACTACAGGTGCATGCCACCACACCTGGCTAATTTTTGTATTTTTAGTAGAGACAGAGTTTTACCATATTGGCCGGGCTGGTCTTGAACTCCTGACCTTGTGACCCACCTGCCTTGGACTCCTGAAGTGCTAGGATTATAGGCATGAGCCACTGTGCCTCGCCAATAATAGACATTTTAAAATACATTTAAAAACCGGTGGAGATCTTATATAATTACTGAAAAATGATAATTGGCTGCTATCCAGGTTGCAGTGAAATAGACACACTCACATGCTGCTAGTGGTGTAGTCCAATGGACTTGAAGTGAAAGCAGAAGGTCAATACGGTGCAAGAGCCACAAAGACACGTTTCCTTTAACTTTGGTGTCTGCTCCTGGAACTTTACATTAAGGAAATAACCTAAAACAAGCCAAAAACTTACTATGTAAAAAGGTATCCATCATAGTGGAGTCAACAATACTACCACACAGGGAACAACTGAATGAAGACCCAAAGGCGGGAATTCAGGCTTATGTCAGCAAGGCAGAGCATTTAGCAGACATCACGAGTACTTTGAAAACTGTGTGGATGCAGAGGCGCCCACATTTGCAGACACCCTGAGGTGGGAGAAAGCCTGGTAGAGCGTGAAGACAGAAAAGAAAGGAAGGTGGCAGAAATGCAGTTGAAAGGGCATGCCGTTATGCGGGGCGGGGGTGGGGGGTGGGGCAAGCCTTATAGACCTCGTTCAGGATCGTGGGTTTCATCCTGTTTGCAATGGGAAGTCACTGGAGAATTCTGAGCCCAGGGTGACGTAACCAGAATGGTGGGTTTTAAATGATCCTTCCTTATAATGTGGAAAACTATTCTTTTAAATGCAAGTATGCAGACAAGGTATCATGCAAAAATGTACCAGGGTGATTGCACACAGACAGTAGGGTTTTTTCACCCCTGTGGAAAATTCCCCAATCCTGTTTCTGACACCTCATATGAAAGCTGCATGTGCAGTCTTACTGCTATTTTGCAAGCCTGAGGCTTGGGCAAAAAAAGAAAGAAAAAATCTCCAATTCGGTTGACACAACATTCCCTGCTTCAAAATAGAGAAAATAGTTCTCCTACAGGGAGCAGCTGTTTTTTCTGTGAAACTCTGTGTCCCACAAATGTAGGACACATTATGCACAGAGTGGGGAGGCTTGGAAAGGAGGCTGTTGTCTTACGAAATGGGCCAGGGCATGGGGTAGGAGGTGAAACTGTGTTATCAGAAGTTCCTTTTCCACTGGGTGATAAACCATCAAAAATAGCTTCCTGTCGATGTTACAGATGTTATAACTTCACTTGTCACTGTTTGATCTCCCCTAGCGTCCTACCCTCAGGGCAGAAGTCTGTCAGCTCAAAGCAGAGAGCAGGGGGCCACATGTCCCAGGGCTTGGCAGATGGAGCCCTGAACCCAGACCTCAGTAGGAAGCACCAGCATGAGCCATTCCCAGTGGCCCCTGAGCAGGAGGAAGCAAAGTGCCTTCTTTTTGAAATACGGTCTAACTCTGTCACCCAGGCTGGAGTGCAGTGCGTGATCATGGCCCACTGCAATCTCTGCCTCTCAGGCTCAAATGACTTTTTTCATTTCAGCCTCCCAAGTAGCTGGGACTACAGGCACATGCCACCACGTCTGGCTAACTTTTTTTGTGTGTATACACACATGTATACACAGCATAGTGAAACCTCGTCTCTGTATATGTTGCCCAGGCTGTTCTCAAACTCCTGGGCTCAAGCCATCTGTCTGCCTCGGCCTTCCAAAGGGCTAGAACTACAGGCTGAAGAGTCTTTTTGAACAAATCATCTTATCATCGGCAAGTGTTTGCATGTAGCAGGGAGTGGACACGATGCACACCATGTACATATAACACAGCACCTCAGTTCACTCATTTATTCACGTCACAAACATGTATTGAGCACCCACTAGGTACAGGCACAATCCCAGCTGGCAGGGATATGGAGACTAAGACACAGGCTTCAATAATTCTCACTTTGCTATTTAAAGCAGAGTTGTGGATGACATGCCATACACAAAACCGTGAGATTTTAAAGCAGAAAGGATGCTGGAAATGATCTAATCAAAATGTCTTATAATCGGATATAAGAAAAACGTCCAGAGAGGATAAGTGCCCCGGATCCTTAGGCCGCTGAAGTTCAAGTCAAGTGGATTTTCCACTAACCTCTGATGTGTCTTATGAAGATGAAAGCAAATGGCTGCAGCGCAGTCCTAGCAAGAGTGTGCACGAAAGTGTTGCTTAAACAAAGGGATCATTATCTCCGACACGTGAAAAAAATGCCCCATCATTGTCCCTAATCAAATAAGGATCTCTAAAATGACACTGAGATATGTCGTGTTCAAAGATCTTTAACAACCCTATGATCTTGTGAATCTTGGAGTAGCATCATGGAAGGTTCTGGTCTGAGAGTGGTCCACACAGAAGGCTGGAGCTGTATGAATGTGACAGTGGGTGCTGCCATATCTACACTGGGTTCCTATGAATGAGTAATAGAAAGAGCAAGCCAAGCATCTTGGCATGATCCCCACAGTTTGCTGAGTTAGGGGCAGAGCAAGGTGCGTATTGACACTGGCGGGGCAAACCTGGAGTGGGTGTGAGGTGGGAGACCCAGGCATCTAGGATCACCTCCCCCTTGACTTCCACACTGCATTTCAACAGAAAAAAGGCTGGCTGGCTGGCGTCTCCTAAATCACCTTCCTATAGATAGCAGGCGTGGTATGAGGGAATCTCTCCAGAAGATATTGTTTTTACTTAAACAAAATCTAACCCCCACCCCATTCCTCCTCCATTGACCAAGACCCTTTCACATGTAATTTCTAAAACTGTAAACCCAAGATCTTTTCACGTGTAATATCTAGAGTGTAAGCCTATATAAAGGCAGAGCTTCTCTTTGTTAGGAGAGCTTGGCAGTTAGACAAAGCACGTCGCCTTGCTCCCGGGTTGTAATAAAACACCTCTTCCTTCCTAGTTCGGTGTCGGAGATGTCCGTTTCTCGCGGCCGATCCTGCTTCAGGTGGAGAGCCCAGTTAGGAAATCACTCCACATTGTTACCAGTGTTCTTCTGCTTTCCTAAAATCTTGAGTGATTAAGGGCTTCATGTTTTTAACATGAACTGTGCAAAGGAAAGAAAGCCGCAGCTATAGGCATAATTCCGGAGTGAGCTGTGACACACACAGGGATCACAAAACACTGAAGGAGACTCAGCCGGAGGGGTGGCTTTCCGACTTGCATTTAGAGAATAAAAATGTGAATAGCTACCATCTCTTGTTTACCTAATATTCTGTTAAGTGCTTTGCCTACTTATTTACATTATTTAACCTGAAACAATGTTAGTGAGATCTAAAAAACATCATATATTTACTACTAAGTCAATTTGACAGGTGAAAAAACTGACGATCAGAAAGGTTAAGTAACTTTGCCCAAGTCACTCAGCTACCAAGCGGTGGCACCAGGATTGAAACTGACTATATCTAACTCAGGAGCTGGTACAGCAGGCAATTTGAGTAACAGTTCACAGCAAGGGAGTGACACCGTCGAGGCCTACAAATCTATTTTCTTTGTTTTATATCTGGGTCATTTTACCCTTCTCTCATTCTTTCCTCTCAAGTTTCTATTTTGGGGTTTTAGGCCCCCCACCCCCACAAAGAGCCTGAAATCAACCTTCCTTCCCTTCCTGGTGTTATCGTACCAACTGTAACAGCCATTTTTGGTTGGCCTCATTTGATGCTTAATGACAAAGAAGTTGTCCCCAAAAATGTATTCTTATCCATTGCCCTATGTCACCTACTCAATCTTTGGTCACATCACATACAGATTCAGAGATGAGCTAGGTTGGAAGGGATCTCTGCTGATATCTAGAGACGTACTTCTTCATTTTACAGAGGAAGAATATGAGTCCCTTCAGGAGAAAGCAAATTGTCTGAGCCTATGTGGCACCCTGGTGCCAGAGCTGGGACTTCATCCCAGGCCTCTTAACTCATCCTTTAGTGCTCTTTCCACTCTACCTGGCTGCGTGTGTATTTGTGATACTTAAATGTGTTCACACAGGGAGAGAAAGAGATTAGTAATCTTCTCCATCTACACAAACTGTCTACCAGAGAGATGGGCAGAGCATGGCCAAAAGACACAGGAGGCATTATCTCTAGCTTCTCCCTGCCTTACTCAACGAGCTAGATCGCTATCTTCTGAGCGGCAGTCCCCCGCCTTGCTGGAAATGTTGAAACACTTGTGACTGACCTCCAGTGACACAGAAGCTTCTGGGTAGGGGCTGGAGACAGGTGGGGGAGATGTTTCCATTAGGACATCGCTGAAACACACACTGGAATCAGACTGTCCTGGGGTAAGTACTATCTGTGAAGACAGGATTTTAAATTAGTTTGAAATGTGCATTTGTTTGCGAACATATATGTGTAGAAGTTTGAGAGAGGATTCTCCGTTTATGTGCTGAGATTCCAAGGTGCGAAATTCAACCTGAAATCGGCTTACAGTGAACCTAAGATTACACTTGATGGACGTGAATTTCTTGGGCCTGAGACCTGAGATCTGTGTGCACTACCAGCAGCAGCAGCCATCGGGGCTCCGGCCAGAAGGTACATGAACTTTGGGTCCAGCAAAAACTGGTTCCAAATCCTCACTCTGCTAAACTTTTGTGAGTTTCAGTTTCCTTATCTGTAAAATGGGTAAAACACCCACCTTACCGGATTGCGACAAGGATTCAGACAATGTACGTTCAGTGCCAGTTCAGTGCTCCACCAATAACAGCAATGAATTTCTTTTTAAGTCAAATGGGAACCAGATCTCAGAGAATATCTCCCCTATAAACACCCATAGGAGTGTTTTCCCTGAGGTTTGTTCTGAGCAGCAAAGGACTACTGTACATGAAGGGAAGAGAGCCAGCCTGGAAGTTTTTAAATTTTATGAATGGAGGTTGGAGAATGCGCACCATCCAAAAAAAAGTCATGCGAACATCTGGATAAGGAAAAGCCAATAACGGCACAAAACAGAAACGGCTGACCCTCATATACACCTTACTATCTCCAGGGACTGTTCAAAGAGTTTCACACAGGTTAGCCCACCCCTCTCATTTCATGGACAGGAGAATTGAGGCTCAGGGAGAGGAAATGATGTGCCCGAGGAATGTATAAAGTTGTTGAGCTGGAATGTTCATCTAGGCTCTCGTGCCATATTCCAGATGAGCTCAAGCCTCCTAATCACCTGGGATAAGGCCCCTGACATGGTGACCAGAGCCGAAGAGAATCCAGGAAAGATTTCTCTGATACAAGGACGAAGGCGATCCTGTAACCCTCTGTTATCCCCTTCCCATGATATCTGGCATTTCCCCATTTCTCCCTTCCCTCAGCCTGGCATTTTGGCCTTCTCTATTCCCTGGTGAGTGACTCATTGACAGTCATAGGAAAAGACATTGTTTAGGACCAGGGACGTCCCACGACCCCATGGTTTGGTACATTGGGTTGCTCCCACCTCAAAATCATGAGTGAGCCCAGTATTCTTACAGGCCTTATGAAAACGGGTATGTTTGGCCGGGTGTGGTGGCTCAAGCCTGTAATCCCAGCACTTTGGGAGGCCGAGGCGGGTGGATCACGAGGTCAAGAGACCGAGACCATCCTGGTCAACATGGTGAAACTCCGTCTCTACTAAAAATACAAAAAATTAGCTGGGCATGGTGGCGCGTGCCTGTAATTCCAGCTACTCAGGAGGCTGAGGCAGGATAATTGCCTGAAACCAGGCGGTGGAGGTTGTGGTGAGCCGAGATGACGCCATTGTACTCCAGCCTGGGCAACAAGAGCGAAACTCTGTCTCAAAAAAAAAAAGAAAGAAAGAAAGAAAGAAAATGGGTATGTTTATAAATTTAAGATAATTTTGAGTTGAATTTTCTGGTCCAAGAATCGGCCCTTGGTTACCCATATATGCCAGGCCCTCTACCAAGCATTTCCTTTTTTTTTTTTTCATCTTTTTGTGGAAAATGGGGTCTCACTATGTTGCCCAGGCTTATCTGAAACTCCTGAGCTCAAGCCATCCTCCCACCCCTGCCTTTCTAATTGCTCAGATTACAGATGTGAGCCTTCACACTCGGCCAGCATTTTCAATACTGAACACAGTGTGATGAAGGCTCTGGCCTCAAACCACCTGTGTCTGAATTCTATCCTCTCCACAGGGGATTAGAACCTGGTTTTCTCCTATGTAAAATAGGGAGAACAATAGTATCTACCTCAAAGGTTGTTACTCTGAGGATTAAATAAGATAATTGATGCAAAATGTTTTTTATGATACTGACACGTTCACAGTAAACACAAGACATGTGTGAATTAAAAATATGAAACAGGCCGGGCATGGTGGCCCACACCTGTAATCCCAGGATGGGAGGCTGAGACAGGAGGCTTGCTTGAACCCAGGAGTTTAAGACCAGCCTGCACAACATGGCAAGACCCTGTCTCTACAAAATTAAAAAACTAGCCAGGCATGGTGGTGTGCATGGTCCCAACAACTTGGGAGGCTGAGGCGGGAGGATTGCTTGAGCCCAGGAGGTTGAGGCTGCAGTGAGCTGTGCTTGCACCACTGGACACACCAGCCTGGGCCACAGAGCAAGACCCTGACTCAAAAAAAAAAAAAAAAATCGCCACAAAACAGGTGCCCTCCCCATTTTACAGACATAACCCTCAAGCTGGAGAAGCAAAGCAACTCACTGCTAGGAAGGCCAGTGCTGAGATCCTAAACACAGTCTATTTGGCTGCAGAGTCTCCACACATAACCATCTGCCTGTACTCACTTGCATGGTGGCTTTGCAGTATCCTCCGCTGTTTCCTCATGATGCTATTTACGTGGTCAAATATACAGCCAACTTTGTTAAAAGAGAATCAGCTCCACTAAAGCTGTCCCCTACAGCCAAGGTTGGCAAGACACGTTTAGCTGGATTGCTATTCTCCCCTCCTTTCATCCACCCATCACCCTGTCCTTCAGATAATTCCCTCTCAGCAACTCTTCCCTGAGCATTCTATCACTTGGGGATCTCTTTGTCCTCTGAATTATAACGTATTATTGATGCCACTCCTTCTGACAATGCATCATTCTTCACCTGTGACATCTCTTCTGCTTTTTGTCTTTTCGAATATTAATGGCTTGAATGAGCTCTTGAAAGTACAAATGGCCTTTTCTCCTTCAGGCCATCAGCAGTATTTCACACAGGAGCATGTACATGGACCACTCAATAAATATCTGAATGACTGAAATTCAGACATTTAGGTGATCACCTCAATGTTCTAGTAACATGGTGAGATATAATTTATGTAGATAAATTTGGTGTCATGATGATTTAAGGCACTCAGAAACTCTAGGTTTGTTTCAATGTCTTAAAACGTTTTTTGACTGTAGTTAATAACAACATATTGTATTCTTGAAAATTGCTGAGAGAGTAGATTTCAAATGTTCTCACTACAAAAAATGACAAAGATAAATATGTGAGATTATGCAGCTGTCAACGCATTTGATTTAGCCATTCCACAATGTACACTTATTTCAAAACATGTTGTACACAATAACTATGGATAATTTTCACCAATTAAAATAATAAGCTGGGTGCAGTGGCTCATGCCTATAATCCTAGCACTTTAGAGGCTGAGGAGAATCATTTAAGCCAGGGGTTCAAGGTTGCAGTGAGCTTTGATCCTACCACTGCACTCCAGCTAATTAGGAAAAATATTTTAATTTATTTTTGGTTAATTAATTAAACAATAAAAACAAATTAAAGTATTTCTCCTAATTGGAAAAAATGCATGTTAATTGCAGGAAACTTTGAAAATGACGAAAAGTATAACAAGTGAAATAAGACAGCCTCAATCAACTATCTTCTTCCATTCCTCCATATAAACAAAGTACACTTAAATAACATCCTAAACTTGTTTCTATGGATTCATATTTGTGAATAAATCTCAAAAAACAAACAAAAGAAAGAAAGATTCTGGGTTTAGGGAGCAGAAACATGAATTGGGTGGGTTATTACTGAGCTAGTATGATAAGAAAGAAGTTTCATGACCCAGAGTTTTCTCTTTATAAATTCTCATTCTTTTTATGTTCACTTTTCTTTTCTTTGAGATGGAGTTTCACTCTTGTTACCCAGGCTGGAGTGCAATGGCGCAATCTTGACTCACCACAACCTCCGCCTCGCAGGTTTAAGCGATTCTCCTGCCTCAGCCTCCCGAGCAGCTGAGATTACAGGCATGCGCCACCACCCCCAGCTCTTTGTTTTTCTTTTTGTATTTTTAGTAGAGATGGGGTTTCTCCACGTTGATCAGGCTGGTCTCCAACTCCCAACTTCAGGTGATCCTCCTGCCTCGGCCTCCAAAAGTACTGGGATTACAAGCGTGAGCCACCACGCCAGGCCCATGCTTATTTTTGAGACAGGGTCTTATGCTGTTGCCCAGGCTGGAGTACAGTGATACGACTACATCTCATGCAGCCTTGATCTCCTGGGCACAAGCAATCCTCCTGCTTCAGCCTCCTCCCGAGTAGCTGGGACTACAGGTGCACTCCATCAGACCCGGCTAATTTTTTAACCCATCTCTTGTTTGCCCCAAGAATACTTTTGTCTCTTTTCCTCATGTAACATCATATACATTTCTGTTACCTGAGGAATAGAGACAAGTTCTGTTGAGAAATAACTCCCAAGAACAGTTTTTATATTTTATCTTCACATTGAAAATGAGTCAGATTTACTTCAGCCTCAAAGAGCACGAGTTGCACTTTTTTTTTTTCCTAAACTGGAAATGGGTTAAAAAAAATTTTGTAGAGATGGGATCTCACTATGTTGCTCAGGTTGATCTCAAACTCCTGGACTCAAGCGATCCTCCCACCTTGGCCTCCCAAAGTGCTGGGATTACAGGTATGAGCCACCACGCCCAGCCTTATGTTCATTTTTTACAAAATTGTGATTATATTTTATGTAGCTAAATACAACTGCATTGTGTATTTTCATAGAACAGATTTCCTTCTCCAGATGAACTCTTCCTACATGTAATTTTAAACGGCCATATGGTTTTCTATTCTATGCCACAGTCCTCATTTCTTCCGTTTCTGTTGTTTTCTTTAGATTTCTTCCCATCTTTCACTTTTATAATCACACTCTGCAGAGCTCTTTTGTATAACAGCTTTGGTCTGTTCTGGATTGTTTGTAAATTGTCTGCTCCGCACTCTTTTCCCATTTACTATTCGAGGGCCCTAGTGTTTTTTCTTTTTTTTAACAATTTATGTAAACCAAAGATGCAAAATCTTTAAAATTGCGGTTTGCCATACTTGTTTTGGTTTTTTTTTTTTGTCTGTTTACCTTTAAAATTTGTTAACATATGAAGTTCTAATAGTTTAGCGCCAAATCTATTTTCACATCTTTCTTTGTGATTTCTTCCACTGCATATAAACTGAGAAAGTTTTTTCTCATCTGAGGATTTAATAAACATCATTAAATACAGTAATATTCAATCCTACTTTCTTCTCATTGTAATGGCTTGACTTAAAATATTTACCTCCTTAATCCGTTTGGAATTCATTTTACTATCTAGGGTCTGGATCTAAGTTGCTT